TGAAGGAATGTGCTGAAGGATGAGAACAACGTCGAGAAATATAATTGTTCCTCAGCCTCCTCCTCTCTCCCCCTTTGTCGTCGCGTATTGTTACGAGCGCTGATTAAAGCAGTCCTATGAGTAATAGAGATTTTAGGACCGAATATTGGTAAAACAACACGCGATACTTTGTGGAGAACAATTTATTCGGAATCTCTCACGCTCAGGGTGATCAGAGCCTTACAATGCAAGGTCTAATAATACGCTATCTGATTAATTGTCAAGTACAAGCCTGATCTGTATTCACTTTGGTAAAGTCAGACTCGGGTCTGATCAATTTATTGTTCGAAAGATCTGATCTTATTTTATCAAAGTGCATATAGAATAGGCCGGGTTATGTTTTGTAATGAATCGAGCCTGATTGATTCGCAGGGCTCTAAAAGCGATGTTAATCCTACGACTGACGACTGAACCGGATGATGGTACAAGCTCACTACGTTACATCGGAATGATATAATAATATGTAATTCTCAAGAAATAATTGCGAGAACTAGATTCTTTTATATCTAAAAGTTTTATATCTTCTATAGTCCTACTGCACTGAGAAAAAAATACTTGAAAATTTATTTGTAGAACAAAAATTTATTTCACAGAAACAAATTTTATTTCTTAGAAATATATTTTATATCACAGAAATAAATTTTGTATCATACAAATAAATTTCCAAGTGTCTTTTCCTCAGTGTATTAGTTCAAATATACCGAGTATTTGTGTTTAAAAGATATGCGCCTGAGTCAGTGATTTGGAATCGAGCTATTGTAAACTTTAGGAAATATGTTTGAAGGGAATAGACAAGGTTTCGAAGGAGGAATTTAATAGGACGCGCGCTGCGGCACGTAATAGTGCACGCGATGATTGACGGTGACGCACGTGTATGCCGTTTTTGTCTCGAATGTGAGGCGAGCATATGTATGCTCACGAAAGAGCTTTGTTCTCGCAGCCGCCAATAAACCGGCCATCTTTCAGAAGGGAACAAATCCCGTTTTCATATGGAATGTGCACATTTGTAAGATTCGTGCAAATTTGAATTTGATGACACAATAAAAGCAACGTTAAAAATTGAAAAGGCGCCACGATTAGACGTAACGATTGCATTGCTGTACTCTCTTAAAGTGAATCAGTGAAACATCATTGAAAGCAATGAATATATACTAATTTGTAGTTATAAGAATAGCACTGAATCTGCTCAATGTTATAATTATAACTGATATCAGTGACTATTCACTGATTCACTTTAAGACAGTACGCAAATTTAAGTGGTATAAATAACCGGATGTATTTATACTCGTATATTGGTGTTCCTTTATCATCCAGAAATAATAATAATAAGAGCGTATGTTTCTTCGAGATCGATAAGATTGCGAAGCCCTTTGTCCCAAAAGAAAGGTTCGCGAACTTCTACGACGAAGATTTTATCTGAAGGATATTGCCTATGCTTGTCAGCGTATTTACAGTGCAAGAATAGCAACATGACCCGGCCACCTTTCAGACGGGAATAAACAGTACTCGCGACAAACTGAATACAAATTGAATGCACCTTCTTGATGCGTTCTTGGTGGCGCGAAACCGATCGTACATGTTTACGTTGATTCTCCGCGAATTCTACTTCCAGTGACAACAATCAGTATCGCGAATTGTTCGACACGAGCGATACATTGATCTTTTTATAAAAGCTAAAATGTACGACTTGGAAAACCAACGATTTTCGACTATAGGATAATATGTCAAGAACTATGATAAAAAAAACAAGAAAAATTCGTAATAAATTTGTAGAGCACAAAATTTAAGAAGAATTTATATCTCGTAAGTTATGTTTATTTTATCGACCGACTGAAAAAGAAAGATAGTATAACAATAAGGATATCAATTAATCTTGAAGACATAAATGAAAGATATATGTGCACACACAGAAAAATGTGTTTAAGTATGTGTTACAAGTATTTCATAAGTCTATATATCCGCAAATCGATCATAAGTTTATCATAAGCATGAAATTTATTTAAAATACACTCTGAATCTTAGTAAGTTTTAGTATTTCCACTAAAAATATCAAATTAAAACTCGATTTACTTACTACTAATTTTTCTCCAATAAAACTTTTTAATAAAAGAGAAGACTATTTGTAAAAGAGAATAATTTTTTAAGCGTATGATAATAAGCTTTTCTCAAATTGCGATGAGTATATCTTATGACTATTATTAAGAAAGCTTTCTTTGTCGAAGATAATCTGAAAGATGGAAGGTAAACTGAGAAGGAAAATTAAAGGGAGACTAAGGAAAACTAAGAAGGAAAGTAAAAGTCGCTTTTCTTAGCAGTGGGATGATATTTTCCTGTGTACATAATCGTTAAAGTCACAAAACGAGCTAAGCCTATTCGACGCGCTATCTTCCTTACAAATTGTTCATTACACGAACAATTACATCGGTTACATCGCGAATTGAAATGTATAAAGCGCGTTTGACTTGAGAGATTGGTAAGTCTCGTTTTCGACCGGAATTCTTGTATCCGCGGCATCAGTTCAAGCTTTATGTTGAAAATTGATGGCTCGAACGTGACTAACGACCGAAGTGACTCGATATTTTCTCTCAGCCCGTTTTCGCGCTCCTCCCATCACTCCTCTTCCTCTCCCGCCTCCCGTCCCGCTCCCGTCGCTTCCTCGTAAAACGTTTGTCTAGTGACTCGCTTAATTCTATTATCATTTCGCTACGCAACTGTGTGGCGTTGTCAAATGATCCGAAATGACTCCGTCGAGGGTTAATGCAAGTCGCGTTAACGCGACTCGATACCCTCGATTATATCGACCGGAGGACGCTACTACGGCGAATTATGGTGCGTAACTCAGACTGACGTATTTCGGAATCGAATGATGTCGGCTGAGACGTGTGAAAACAATCGCGATCAGCCGTATTGGGATCGTGGTTTGTGTGTTTCTATTCGTATCCCCTTTCTAAAGTACCAGGATTAATATAGCTTAGAGGAAGATATTTAGAGATATCGATTAAAATTCGAAATCGTGGGTTGACTCCTCGCTGGAAATAAAAGCACGAGCCTTTATTCACCGTGCACTGGTTTATTTTGGATTGCGTTGCGCGTGAAAGGTAGCCGCAGCCGACGGTTGACAAAGCGAACTCGGCACCGAGCGCATTCCATATAAAAATTGGATCGCCATAGGAGGAAGTATCCAGATCAAAGAAATATCGAGTAACAACTCGGTTCTGGCGACAGATGTGAATAATAGAACAGATTAAATTCTCGCTGTTGTCACGTACCGTTGTTTCCGCTGTCCTCACAGAAAACGAGTGTACGCGTCGTACCGGATTTATGAACAATTTTTTTTCTCCCTTTCTTTAAATTTGTTTCCCTTAAAAATACCTGGGCCGCAGAGTTATCGAGCTAGTATGGGCAGTACTGCAGGTGAGTGTTATATATTTGTTATGTATTTTTTCTCTAAATTTCTTAGTGGGTGGAATCTCACTCGAAACGAGTGAAGAATATTGCCATTCTTCTCGCGCGGGAAAGTTCGGGTAGATTTCGCGAAAGGCATTTTGCATGGAGTTTCAAACAACTCTCTAAATTTCTTGAAGTTTCACTCAAAAAACGGGGTGATCACCGAGTCACTGAAATTCGAATGATTTCTCACTCACACAGTGAGTTAATTCTTCACTCCAGGTCTTTGAGTGAATATTTCCATTCGAAATCGAAGAGCTAGTCTGATGTGTTCCATCATCAATACATCAGAAATATATCCACTTTAATTGATTAAAACCTTCACTCTGTGGAGTTAAAATGCACTCCAAACTTGTGTGAAACGTTCACTTTTGCAACTTCGAGTGGCAAAAGTGAACAAGGGACTCGGACCTGGGTCTTTCGCTTGCCGGGCGACTAAGCCACTGAGCTATCTGATGCTCCACGCTCACGACACTTTCCTCTCCCTAGATAACGTTCAGAGATGCCGTTCGGAAGCGGCACCGTTCGGTTCCGTCTTCACTCGGAATGATAGTGAAAGTATGCTGCTTCCGAACGGCATCTCTGAACGTTATCTAGGGAGAGGAAAGTGTCGTGAGCGTGGAGCTCAGTGGTTTAGAGCAGTCGCCCGGCAAGCGAAAGACCCAGGTCCGAGTCCCTTGTTCACTTTTGCCACTCGAAGTCGCAAAAGTGAACGTTTCACTCAAGTTTGGAGTGAATTCTAACTCCACAGAGTGAAGGTTTCAATTAAAGTGGATATATTTATGATGTATTGATGATGGAACACATCAGACTAGCTCTTCGATTTCGAATGGAAATATTCACTCAAAGATCTGGAGTGAAGAATTAACTCTGTTTGAGTGAGAAATCATTCGAATTTCAATGACTCGGTGATCACCCCGTTTTTTGAGTAAAACTTCAAGAAATTTAGAGAGTTGTTTGAAACTCCATGCAAAATGCCTTTCGCGAAATCTACCCGAACTTTCCCGCGCGAGAGTTGAGGAACAAATAAGTATCCGTCATTTTTATCTCAGATATTATTTATCACTCGACACAATAGCTTCGCATGAGTGCGAAAGTGACGCGCGAAAAAAATATCGGTCGCCTTACACAAATGGGGTTCATTTTGCGACCCATAGACGCTTACTCGACGATCGAATCAGCTGAACAGTCAGCCAGCACCGATAATCTATCAAGGTGGTGACACCCCGCGAGTGTCAGAGCCAAGCACCTGTGGAATACACCTCTACAGGCAGAAATCCCAGTGGCGGCGGCGGCTTGTCGGACGACTCTCGCGCGAGATTTCGAGTTCGACGTGCGATGAGATATCGCAGTCGTGGGTGGCCGCGGGAATAGAGCAGCAGGTACATCGTGACCGAGGTACATGGGTACGTTTGATTGGACGAGAATGCCTCAGCGGCGCTCCGCGGCCAGGGTGGGAATTGATGACGCGGGGGTGGGGACTGTGCATGGGGCGAGAGTCGCAAAGTCGAGCGCGGGCTTATATAAACGGGCGGCAGACGCTTCGCCTTCGCAGAATCGTATCCACCGTCGCTGGACGACACACCACCGCCAAGCCACGCAAACGTTCTTCTGCGTTTCCGTCAGCTGCCACCCCCGGCTTCCGTCAGCATCAAGGTAAGTGTCACTTTCACGAGTGGATGTAAGCCCTCGCGCGAGAAACTCCCTTCGCGGCGTACGAGATGTTCCGAAACAATCGTCGGTAAATTGCGAGCGATTGAAAATATCAGCGGGGCGGTTTCGAAGATTGATCCTTATGAGAATAAAGTAATGAATATGATGGAGAATTGTTTCACCCTCTCTGGTTTTGTCAAGCTGCGCGTTCAATTTACGAATAGACTCGCAATTTCACACAGCTCCCTTCGTCCCACGAGATGTCCCGGAACGATTAGTCGTGAAAAGATCGAGGTGTCGGTAAACTGTTAAAAGAGCGAGCGATTGAAAGCGTCAAGGAGTCGTTTCAAAGATTAATCTTTACGAACCTTCAATAATGAATGATGGAACATTGTTAGCTTCGCTTAATTTCGAGGGTGGGCATTCTCGTTTGACGGAATTCTGAGTGTTTAATCGATTGGATAAACGATAAGGCTGACTTTGCCGGGGTTGGGAACTTTGTTAGTGAGACCGGTCTTTCGAGTGAATCGTCTAATAAGTTATGAATACGCGATCGTGCGGTCAGTCAGTGTGGTATGAACCGGTGTGATACGGGAGTGAATCTGCACTTGATTAGCTTGTAATAATTCCAGCCGCTTCGTCTCTCAGTAGTGAAACTCCGCGCTCCGGCTCAGACAGTAGTAAAGTCCGCGTCCCTTCGGGCAGTAGTTAACGTCGCGCTTTGTCAGGCCGTATAAATCACGGCGAGTACACGGAAATGGTACCGGCACAAGTAGATATATTTATGCGCGTCTCTTTGACTCTAAAATAAAAATGGTGACAATCTTGCTCGATATAGATGTGGAAAATTAATTTCAATTTCTCAGAAGTTCATGATTGGAAATAAAGTTAAAGCAGGTGAAACCGGCGAAATCTTTTATAAATTTTATAAATTTCTTCTATATCTATTATGTCTTCTATATTTTTTATAAATTTTATAAATTTCTTCTATATCTTTTATATCTTCTATATTTTTTATAAATTTTATAAATGTCCAATAGCGAGGATATTATTAATTTTAAAATTGAAGTAGCTACTGAATATACTAAAATATTAACTCTGTCCGATATGCTAGTGTAAAAAATTACGATTTTCTGAAAGACGCCACAGATAAAGATAAAGCTAAAACAAGCAACGGGACGTTTTTTAAACTCGGATAATGAGTTCATTCGGATTCATGTAACAGAACTTCGTTTCTGCGTGTTTTTTGTTTTTAACTTGAATCTCGATCTTACTACACTTGCGGATCTTTCTTATTTCAAAGGAAGATGTTAAGAAAATACGTGAAAATCAAGAGAAAAAGACAATTGATAAAAGAACATATATTCTTTTTTTGGAGCAATGCGCACATAGGATTTTTTTCCAGTCGTAGGATGGTTACGAAATATGTTACGAACATCTATGGCATACAAAACAGGCAACGATCGACACTTTGACGGCAGGAACAATTCGAATGGACCCGCGACGGCGTTCACATGACGAGGGTTGAAACGTAATAGGGAGAAAAAATTTACATAGACACAGAATTTGCATAGTTTCGGCGACGAGTATATTAAGAGAAAATGCCAGTTGTATCTCGGAGACGAAGGTACACGTTTCTCTCACTAGTTCAACCGCAGTGGTATATTACGAACTAAAATCCTCTCACATGAATCAATTGCTGCGGTGCGCATCTCGAGATATATATATATATATATATATATATATATATATATATATATATATATATATATATATATATATATA